GATATCTTGTATTAACTTTATATGCTTATCCAGTGATCACACCTAGTTAAATCATTCATTTCTTTGGTAGTCTTGAGGTTTTCCATTATTTGTTTAGTAATAGATGCTGATCTATACTCATGTTGCGCATTTTCCTGTAAATATGACATGCACATGTAATTCAGTGTCAATTAGTTTTGTGTACATGCATGATTACCGCTTCCAGTTCGGGAAAATTTTCTTCAATAGCAATATCATAAAGATGTGAATAAGGCCCATGTCCTGCAGCATCATCCCAATAACTTGAGTCAAATATCAATGATTTTAAGTTTGCTTACCAACATCATGACAGAGTGCAGCAATTTGCACGCACATCTTCTCTTCCTTTGTAAACCATGTGCCATCCTCATGTAATGCTGTCACTAACTGACCAGCAATGTGACAGACTCTACAAAATATAACAAATGATATATAGTCTATATGATTCAGTTTTAAACAAACCCAATTGAGTGTTCAAATCTTGTATGAGTGGCTCCAGGATACACATAACACACACCACCTAAAAAAGTGAGATATACATGTATTAATGCTACATGTATTCTACAACAATGGTATGATCTTTTACCTAATTGCTTGATCTTCCTCAGTCTCTGGAATTCTGGTCTATCAATAATCTTAAACAAATATTTATCAAGTTGTATGGATCCATGAACAGGATCCATTATTGTACCAAACTCTACTGGTGGATCTAACTCTGGTTCAGACTGTACTTGTGGTATAGCCATCCTTGCTTTAGTGCTTCTCTTGGCACAAGAAGCTACTGTATAAGCTGACCGGATACATTTACTCTATCACAACAGTGAATCCTTATAAGGAGATGTTATGAGTAACCTGAGGCTGTTTGAATTTCAAATTACAAACAACACATACAAATGGAGTAGAGTGATGTTAACGCACATTATCATGTAAAGGTCAATAGAACCAGGTACACCTTTACATGTATATATCAGTATGCATGCAGTGATTGCAGCTACAGTAACAAAAGAATGCAAAGCTACTTCAAATGAAAATTACAAAAAATTATTAATGAGTCATTATACTACCCTTTTATTACTATATTTAAAATATGAACAGCAAAACCTCCACTATTGAAATTTGAATTGAGTTCATTTGGGCCTATATCTATAACAAGATTACATATTATTTATATTATTTACTACTAATATACCTTTTAATAACTCTTTTAAAATCTCTCAAATCTTTATCTGTTGTACATTACTTAATTATTAATTATTTAAAAAATTAATCAATAAAACTAAAAATGAATAATAATTATTGAAAAATAGATCAAACAATACTATTTAAAATTTCATATCTAATCATCAGAATTTTCAGCCTCTTTTTTAGTCACATTGGTAAAGTATTCTAACAAACGTTCCCTGATGGCACTGCCAGTCTTTGCCTCATCAGAACATTCCTTATCATGTTCAGTCACATCATAATACCAAAACAGCTGCGTTTCTTCAAATTTGGCAGGCAGTAATAAAGACACCTGTACAAAGCATCATAGTTATGGATGCATCATGCATACATCATGTTCATAGCTACCTCTTTTCTTGCAAACTTGTAAGGTTTGGGCGTGACACCAGGCTTCTCCTTATTGTAAAAATAATGCGACAAAATTGGGTCTTTCTCTTTTTTCCCATAATTAAAAGTAGCTTCCTTGAATACACAGCTAATAATTATACAGTAGCTAATGTAATTAATTACTTTTGATTCTAAGTAGCTTTCATTTATTTCTAGCCCCTTACTATGGACAAAATCACAAGCTAGTTTTTTATGATCATCTCCATTTTTAATAGTATGGCCTAAAAACTTTGGTAGCTGCCTTTCAGTAATTCTATTAAAAAGTTTTTTAGCACCAGAAAGCTCGGGAATTGGTTCAGTTGGTGATGACAACCGAGGAGACTGTAAATGTATAGAATGTAAATAAAACAAAAATGATGATGTAGGGATTAACGTACCAATTTTTCATCACATAATTGGAGTATATAGTCCTCAATTGTGTCATTTAATGTGAGAAATGCATCAACATTCTTCCAGCATTCAAGCAAAGGGTAGCCATTAACATTAATGACATGATTAGCTTCCCTTAAAGCTTTCTTCATTCTATTTAAAAAAAGTTAGTTTG